AAAAAAAAGAAAAAAAAAAAGAAAAAAAAAGACAACACTAACTCATAGCTGTGTTTTATGCTATGGCGATGTCTCTTGGGTGGAATCTTCTGAATTCTTTTTTTTAGTGGTTTGGTTTGTTTTTTTCAAAGCGACTAGTTAGCTGAGAGAGAGGGAGAAGTGAGGTTAGTGCCAGAAGAGACAGGAAGCATGGAAGGCACAGCGGCACCGGCCTGCGCACAGACACTGTGGAGTTTCCTGCGTACACAGCCCAGGCGGCCCCGCGCCAACACTACGGCAGGAGATTCTGTCAGCTAAGCAATACTTTCATACTGTAAAGGAATTACCAAAAAGAACCACAACAATAATCATCATAAGAAGAATAATAATAATTTTTAAAAAGGAAAAAAAAAAGTAGTTTGAGAAAGGAAATCCTCATGGTGGGTTGTCAGCCCCCCCCCCCCCCCCCCCCCCCCCCCCCCCCCCCACCCCAGCAGTCCGACCATGTTGTGTGGAGAGCTCGGTGTCCGAGCAGGGCTGGTGGTCAGCGGGGTCACCCCAGGGTCAGCGGGGTCACCCCAGGGTCAGTGGGGTCACCCCAGGGTCAGCAGGGTCACCCCGACCCAGTGGGGTCACCCCAGCCCAGCGGGGTCACCCCAGGGTCAATGGGGTCACCCCAGGGTCAGTGGGGTCACCCCAGGGTCAATGGGGTCACCCCGAGCCAGTGGGGTCACCCCAGCCCAGCGGGGTCACCCCAGGGTCAGTGGGGTCCCCCTGGCCCAGCAGGGTCCCCCCAGGGTCAGTGGGGTCCCCCCAGGGTCAGTGGGGTCCCCCCTGGCCCAGCAGGGTCACCCCAGCTCAGCGGGGTCCCCCAGGGTCAGCGGGGTCCCCCCAGGGTCAGCGGGGTCCCCCTGGCCCAGCGGGGTCCCCCCGGCCCAGCAGGGTCAGTGGGGTCCCCCTGGCCCCCCTGGCCCAGCAGGGTCCCCCCAGCTCAGCGGGGTCCCCCTGGCCCAGCGGGGTCCCCCCAGGGTCAGCGGGGTCCCCCCAGGGTCAGCGGGGTCACCCCAGCTCAGCGGGGTCCCCCCTGGCCCAGCGGGGTCCCCCCGGCCCAGCAGGGTCAGTGGGGTCCCCCTGGCCCAGCGGGGTCCCCCTGGCCCAGCAGGGTCACCCCAGCTCAGCGGGGTCCCCTGGCCCAGCAGGGTCCCCCCAGCTCAGCGGGGTCCCCCCAGGGTCAGTGGGGTCCCCCTGGCCCAGCGGGGTCCCCCCAGGGTCAGTGGGGTCCCCCCTGGCCCAGCGGGGTCCCCCCGGGCTCGTCTGTCGCGGGACCGTCGTCGGTAGCACCCCCGTCATTCTCTGTCGTACGAGGTCTGAACTCCCATCAGTACTGGATGCAAGTGAGCATTTCAGGTGGTCATAAATGTACCTAAATAAACTATGGCACAGTGGCAGGCCTAGCCCTTCCTTTTATACTTTAGTATGAACTGATGAGAACTTTGGTAGTGACTTTTTTTTTATATATATACATATATATATGTATCTATATATATCAAGCATCTTTCAGGTCTCTGTGTATGGCTTTCTGAAGCCCTGTTGTAAAATACTATGTGGATGGGGGTCTCTCACATCACAGATGTGGAAAGTATAATTTTATATTTGTATTTTCAAATAAATAAGTTTGTGAAAGGTTTCCATCCTCTACTGTGGTCCAGAAATCAATGTGTTTGTCTGACGAAAAAATACAATAAACTGTTTTGAACAGATCCACGGAGTCCATTTCATTGAAGGGGGGGGGAAATATTTATTCCTGTGGGGTGAGATCAGCCCCATCACCCCAAAACTCATCACCTTGTTGCCCCTCCTGCTCCCACAGGGTGGGCAGCACATCCCTGCCCTGCCCAGTGCCCCAGGGCTGGTCCCTCGTCCTGTGCCCTGCCAGGCACATCTTTGGCACCATCAGCACCAATCCTGCTTCCAGGAGGGCCCAATCCTGCAGGATCAATTCCCAGTCCCCCACCCCCTTGCTGTGTGTTTTCCTCCTTGCAGTGCCACCCTGTCTGTGCCAGCTGTTCCAGCAGGGGCTGTTTCCCTCTGGCACTCAGCCTGGAGCAGAACTTTGGGCTGTAAACACTCACCATCCACGAGTCCTTTTTGCAGGACCACTCGGGTTCCTTTCCTGGGGATCGGGCAGGGATGGAGGGAAGCTCCAGCCCCAGCAGAGCTTCCCTCTCCAGCAGCCCCTCCCGGGGGTCCCGGGGGGCTCAGCCCGCCCAAGGTCAGTGCACGGCAGGACGCAGGACGGGCTCTCTGGAAAGCAGTCAACACATCCAGCCCTTAATGGGATTGATGATTAGTGGAGCACCGAGGGGAAAATTAGATTAGAAAAACAAATGAAAATAATTTCGGAAGTCATGTTTGTTCGGGGTGGAAGGAGCTTCCACTGCGAGGGCTGCAGGAAACGATTTGACTGCAATCCAGAAGAAAAGGAGCGCGGGTCTGGAGTACATTAGTGTGGTGGGAGGCTGGGAATAGCAGCCACTTAACCCTGTCATTCAGCAAACATTAGTGAATTATGAGTGTATTATATGTGGGTGATGTGTTTTGTGCAAAGCCCGCGGGCCCGCTGTAGCAGCACTGAAATGGGAGTGGGGGTCTGTGTCAAAATGTAAATTTTTATACCAGCTCTGGAACAAAAATAAGATTTTGTGTTCGCCTCCCAGCTACTGAAATCAAATTGCAGCCGAAATCAGAGTTGTAAAATAAGCAAAAATTTCCCTTCCCTGTCAAATTAGTGCCCCGATAAAGAAAACAAGGGAGATAAATGTGATTTACTCCCTCTCCCTCCTGTCATAAACATTTATGGCCGAGCTGTGAGCATGAGCTGCAGGAGGCAGCTGGGGCCGTTGGGGTTGTGCAGTGTCACCCACGTGGGGCTCGTTGGGCACGGAGCCCCTGCAGCCCTGTGCCCCCCGTCCTGTGCCCCCCGTCCTGCAGCCCTGCCCCGGGACCCCCAGCCCCGTCCCACAGGCTCTGCCCTACCCCAAGCCACAGGTGGCTGTCCTGGCTGTCCCAAAATCTCAGCCTAAATCCCAGGTTTATTAACGTGCTTGGAGGACTCGAGCACCCTCTGCTCGCATCCCCAGTCACACACCTCGAGGCTGCCGCAGAAACCAAGCCAGCATTTATTAATTATGAGCTTAAGCGCTCCCTTTCACGGCTATTTACAAGGGCCGCCTCATTATTAATACAGAATAATAAAATAGAGGGGTTTAAAACCCATTTGTTCCACTGGGTACCAGTCCGTGGTGGCACGAGCTCGGATGCCGCCCAGCCTGAGAGCACTGAAACCCTGATGGTGATGAAACCCCCCCAAAAAATCCCTCCCCTCTTCACCATTCTGCACTCAGCTCCATCAGATGCCGTCAGAAATGAGCAGTTGCAGCCAGCCGAGGGCAGGGCTGCAGTTTGCAGCTGGGCACGAGGCGGTGCCAGCGCCTGGGTAAGGAGAGGCACTCGTGATTCATCAGCGCTTTG